ATATTTGCTTATTATGGAATGAATGAGGGTGAAAAGAATTCTCCAGTGTGCTTCGGCTTCCAAGCTGGTCTGAAAGCTAAGCACTGAAAGAAAGTCCAAAAGGCAGATCCAGAAGACTGAGGTCTTCTGCCTCTATTTTAAATTTTGGTTTATTTCTAATACTTCCCCTTTAACTCTTTTTTCCATATTTAGGTTTTGGTCCACCATGCCAGAAGCCATATATTGGACAAGGATGTAGAATCAGAAAGATACATTGAGAATAGCACTCCCATGCAAGTACTCCACAAGAACTTCTCTGGAATACGTTTCTGTACAGCATGCATAGCCCGCTCTTGTAGAAACAGCTGTTGCTATGTGTCTTCTTTATTATTGATAGCAGCCATCATAGTCAGGTGATACATATTCACTTTATAATTACTGATTTGTCCTTCTCTCGCTTTGCAGTAAGGCTTCATTGTTATGGTCATGGGAGGAAAAAAGTTTCTTATGAGAGATGGTGTTACAGTTTTTGAGGCTGGATTTTTTTCCTAGTATCTGACAAATTCTGTACACAAAAATTTGCAGAATTGGAAGAGTTAGCCGGGAAAGATTTAAAATAGGGCTTCATAAGCATAGATTAAACAGAACTTAGAAATCAATGAATCTACTGAACTCTCTGACACCTGAGAAGCTTCACAAAATGTGCTTCCTTCTAATATAATTTATGTTCCTTTAAGAATACTTCTCCTACTTGCATTAATTACTGCCTTTTGCAGTCATTTAATTTCCTTCAGTCTTCATTACATTCAGTGAAAATGGAAAAAAGACTATTTGTTAGTGTTTCTTCTTCCTTCTTTGTTCTAATGTTTTGCTCATCCATTTTCATCTGGGAACTGAAAGATAAAGAGATTACAAAATATTAATCTGGGAGTGTTCTCCATCTGACCATGTATTACTCTGAATATTCTTCTTCCTCTGCCTTGTGTTTTAGTTATCAAATTACACTTTTCCTCTTTCAGCTAATGTTTGCAGTTTGTTACTCATATCTACTGGCACAGCTAGGACTCCGGGGTTTATTTTTACAGGTGGAAAGTATAACTTTTGGGATTAACTGCCTTAATCAAAGTACTTGTCCCTTTCTCCCTCTATTACCCCTCTTTCTCACATAATTTTGTTCGATTGGAGAACTGATTTTTAGCACTACATGTGAGATCTCCCTGCTTTCTGTCTTCCATCTTGACATTTACGCAGATCTGAAACTGCATTTTGGCTTCTACTCAAGCTATTCCCTGTGATTTCCTTCCTGTCTCTGTTTCTTGCTTTTGTTTTGTATAAGGAAGTCTTCTGTTGGTGTGTGTACAAACACCTCTCTTTCTGTAGTCTTTGCAAATGCCTATTCCCATTTCTTTAGCTGAGATCTCCTGTAGTACGTGCCTACTGATGAGTTCCACCTCACTTTCATCCAACACATTTATTGTTTTCTTTTATTACTGTATGCTTGGGTGTAGATATTTTATAATAAAATCCCAGTGCACCATTTCTTAGGCTGTATTATGCTTGGGTTTTGTCTGATTCCCCCTCTGTCACAGTCCATGAGAAACTATCTACCAAGGAAAATTGCTGCTGAGTGTGGTTAAAATGCTAGGATCAGGTCTCCTAGTGACAGCTTCAAGACTGGGATCACACTGGGTTCCAACCTCTTTTGTTTAAGGAAACAATTCTGCCTTACTTGTTCTTTCCTATGTATGCTGAACCACCAAGCCATGGTAATTTAGATTCCTTCTATAGCATATATTACTTGGTTCCGTTATTTTTCATTGGGGTTTTCTCTATTTACATACAAGTACAATGCACATGTCCAGTGGTTTTTTATTGCTGGGTTGAAAAAAGAGGGAGAAGAGAACATAATCATGTTTCTCTGAATTAGAATAATATCCTCCCCAGCTATTCTGAGTAGGAAATACTTTCCTAGTTCCATATTTCCAATACTTTTTTAACTCCTTCATTTGACTGTGCATTTTTCCATCATACAGTATTTTTTCCTCCCATTCCCCAGCTCTTAACTTTAACAGATAAATTTTTTTTCCACTTCCACCTCAATGACCTGTATCAACTCAGCTTCCCTTAATTTTACACCTCCTTTATACAAAATTCATGTATTTCAAGCTAAGTTATTTTATCTTCTGATCTGGCACTATCCTCATGATGATAACACCTGTTTAATGTCCCTTTTTTTAAGGGGGCATCTGGTAGCCTCAAACCTAGCCAAACCTGTGTGATGAGAATCTGTGGGGAGAAGCTCCTCCTCCTCATCAGCACAGCACAGTGTAGGTCATGCCATATACTATTTGAATTGTAATGGTGTTAAAAAATTAAACTTATCATAGGATGTATCTGAAAATCCAGCTAGCAAGAGGTAGCTGGTGAAATGGGGATTTTACGTCCAGTTTGAGTCTGCTGTTCTGCTAAGGTCTTCATGCTGAAGGCAGTTCAGCTTCACAAAGAAACTGAAACTTAATAAATCTTTGTTTCCTGTCAACAGAGAATGAGTTCTGGTACAAGGTAAGCTCCAGCTAAAAGATTCTCCTTTTGCATCTAAAGTTAGCTCCTGAAAGGAGTTGCCACTGCAGAATAGTTCTTTGCTGCTTGTTGTTTTCTAAATATGGTGTTCTTACACAACATTAAGTAAGGCTGTCAAATGAGAAATTTTTATATGGGGAAGTACGGATTGATAGCTGTTTATTTTTGTTTCAAGTGGTATTATAGAACTGCCTCTACAGTGCATGTACATTCCCAAATACCAGTTTATAAACTGTGCAGAAGTGTTATAATTGTTGCTTAATTTTTCACTGCTCATTAAATCCAAAACATGCTTACACATGCACAAGCATGTTTCCAACACTTCTAAGTAGATTCATGGGGTGTATTTGCATATCAAGGGTAAAACACAGTGTCATAGGCTGAAAAATGTAGATCTTCAGAGGTACAGCAATGATTTATGAATTCTCATTCATGAGAATGTAGGTAGTGCAAAGAATTTGGGTTTTCCTCTTGCAACAAAAAAGCCCTTTTGTGTTCAGTTGTTGTTTGTTTCCGTGTAATAATACCATACTAGGTATGTCAAGCATCTTGTAAAAATACCCCAAAATTTTGACATATGTTTTTCTTTCTCTTTTGTGGTGTGTGTCTGCATGCTTCATTGATTCTTCAAAGCTGAAAGCACCAGTTTAATTAAGGCTTGGTTCAAGTCACAACTGACATTGAAAGACATCCGTTTAGACTTCTTGTCCATGGTAATGAAAAAGTCACTACAGGCATTAGGAAAGGGTAGCATCTTTAAATCCTCCTTTATTTAAGCTACATAAATGTTTACACTTACTTCTAGTATTTTCAGTAACTCAGAGGTAATAATGTGATTGCTGACAATTTATTAACCAGACAGAGTAAGTTAACAGGTATCTAAAATAAACACATCCAACCCCAGCCTTTCTATGATTCCTGAGTATCATTGCTACTTCTTGGAGTTTCAAACACCAAAGTGTGCTTGCACATGTCATTACTGGTGGTGTGTGGACCACAGTTGCAGTAAGAGTGAAAGGATGGATGGACAAGGCATCAGGAAGTCGTTCTTTGATTTTTGCACTTGCCTATCTGTTTAGTTGTGGTCTTCCTCTGCTCAGCATTTTTACTTAAATACAAGGAAAAGGATAAAGATGACTGTTCTCTAATAACATTGGGAGGAGCCGAGGAAAATTTTAAATTTTTTTGATAAAGAGAATATTTCAATAATCTTAATTTTTAATTTTAAGAAACTTCAGGTGTTTCATTACGAGATGTTTTTAGTAACAATAAAAGGGAAGTAGCTTTAATGGGAATATTCTGCTGTGAATGTAGAGACAAAATATTTTCAAGAACTTTCCTTCCAACCACAAACTCTCATTCAATCTTTTTCTTGTATCTCTGCATCCAAAGCATGTGACTTCTGTAGCTGAACATGAATGTGCAGCTACATTGTCTTTGAACAATTTGTTTAACTTCAGGCTACAGTGCTCAAAAGCCAGGAGCTGCCAGCTCTGTGTAGCTGGGAACTCTGATTTCAAATTCAAAGGTCCTGTGTGCACACAAACATTCCCCAGTTGAATCTGGGGAAAGTACATGAACTAATATAGCTAACTTTGTGCAAGTTTGCTCAGCAGTCTTTGCTGTGTTCAGCTGAGCCTGAGTAGTGGCCTCAAATTTTGGGCTAGCACTGAACGTATTTTGTACCAGAGCAAGTTGTCCTGATTCTCAGTGAAAAAAATCAGGGCTCACTTGTTTATTATCAGATTTATTTATGCAGAATAAATTTGTATATTCTTTTACATTACTATAATTTGTTTGGATTTAAATACTAATATGGTTTTCTGGATTTTAAGATAAATTATGTGCTCTGTGATACAATAGAGATCTGTCTTCTTTTCTCATACCAAGAATTTTCATGTGATTTCATTTATGTTTAGTATTACACTGTATGGACATAAACACAACGTTCCAATTTAGCGTAAACAATTGAGGCCTTCACTTATGAAGAACTGTGAGAAAGTCTGACAAGAGAGGTTCAAGGGAAAGTGCATAAAATCAGCCCTGGAATCTCCCAGCATATCTAAACTTGTCAGTAATTAAATTCAGAAACTACTGGAATCCTTTAGAAGTTGAGTAGCTGGGGGAATATTTAATTTTTCTCCCTTAGTAGATTGATTACTGTGGTGTTTCTGTTACATGTGAAGAAATCAGCTCCTATGTAAACCAGCCAAAATGCTCCAGGGCTTCTTTGGAAAGAAACTTTTAGTCTTGTTAATATGTGGTTTAAAAGATAGTGAGAGAGAGACTATTTGATGGCATAATGTTTAGATTTTGGCATTGTAAATGGGAAGTCAGGTATCTGAATTTCTCCTTGCAGGGTGATGACAAGGAAATCTTAGTTGTTAAATACCTTTCACAGTTATGCTCACATGAGGTTGAGCCTGTGTTTCTCATTTCAGCTCAAGAGGCAGGAAAGAGCCAAATATCACTTAGTAACAGAAGACAGAAGGCAAAGAGCAGAAAGTTGCTAATACAGGTGAACTCACATCTAAAGGTAACTGGAAAGAAAGCTGTGTTCCTCATCTGGGTTATCAACAGCAGCTTTTCCTGAGACCAGTTCTGGTCTGCAAAAATGTCTGAAAGAGAGTAAGATCTTTGTTTTTCCTTTTGTGTAATCTATCATAATTACATACATAAATTCATTTCAGAAAGCTTTTCCTGAAGTCTCATTAATTCAACTGGAATTAATTCTAATGTAAACTAATGGATACTAAAATCAAACCTATTCTGAACTTTGTCTTTTTCTCTAATTCTCTTCGTAATAGTCACTCTTTTTTTTCTTCCTTGAATACAAAATACATTTTAAAGTCAGTGCAAACTGTTCATGTCTATTTTTAATTTTAACTTTTAATTTTTAGAATATAAGTAGACCTGACTTTACAGAATTAATACTTTAAATTGGCTGTAAAGGAAAAATATTTTTGAACTCTAGACTCACTGACTGAATTCTAGCATCATGTTTTACCAAGGTATGAAAAAACCTTATTGTAAAAGACAATTAAGCAAATGAGCAAGAGAGGTGGGAAAAGTAAGAAATGTGAAGTGTTTGATCATGATTAAAGTACATATACATATAGTTGGTATTTTGCATAAAAGCTGTTGACTGTATTTTGATGTTTTTACTTATTTTATGAGAACTCCAGTTTGAAGATGAGAGATTTCAGGAGGATTTATCAGAAGACTTCTACTGTTTCCATCATTAAACTGTAGTGATTCTGAACTGTAAAACTTTAAGAGCTAAAAAGTAAAGTTGTTGTAGTCATAATTGTTGCCATCTCCTAGAAGGTTGCTGCTAATTTTTCAGTGTTTAATGTTCTAGTCTTAAACCTCAGTTCCTAGAATCAGTTGAATAAATGAATTAAGATTCCTATGATAAAACTAAAAAGGAAAACTCAGGTTTCCGTAACTATGGAAAGAATCAAACAAACGAGCTCCACTGGTATACAAACCAGAGTGAACAATCAAACATTTTGACAACTGTAGTATTTTAAAATTTAATGCAATATATTATTTAGGGGAATATGTACTTCAGTGAACCAAATAAAAAAGGAAATGTCAATTGAGGCTTTTTTTCCCCTTTCCCTCTTTTTTTCTTGGCTTTACTTTTACACTTCTGTTCAGAGCCAGAGCTTTGCAATTTTGCTATCCTACTAGAGCAGCCAGTTTCAGTTATTTCTCACAGTGATTCTGGAGGAAGGAATGCACAGGAATGGGGAACATTATTCTAAAAGCACAGCAAAGAAGAAGAGAACAGCCTGTATTTAGCTTTTTTTTTCCTGTATACTAAGTTTGGACACAAGTCTCCTGTGACAAAGGGCTTTATATATTTTAGCTGCCAATTCCAAAAGGAAATGCTGTATTATGCAATCAATGGAATTTCACAGTAGATATCTCTACATAAACGAAGCTCTTTTGAATTATGACAGTATGCTAGGAGATACTTCTTCTTTTAAAGACAAAACATGCTGTTGCACTTTTCCTGTCTGTTCAGATCCCTCATTTTTTACTGATGTGTTCTTCTGATCTGGGGTGGATACCAATAAAAGACGTTGATCAAACTTCCACACTGCTGCCCTGTGTTGGGGTGCAGCATTAGCCATGGGTTATGGGCAGGGCAAGGTAGGTGCATGACTGCACCCAGACAGAGTAGGTACCCACAGACTTCCAGAGCTGGGCCGCCCCTGGCTGAGTGTGGTCCTGCCATGCCCAACAAGCCAAGCCAAGAAGGATTGGGTCTGAGGACAAGGGAGAACTCAGGGCCAGTAATCACCAGGTGAGGTCACCGTGCCAAGATGGGTCCCAGGGTGCACTGGGCAGGCAGCCTGCTTATCAGAGGCAGGAGCCCTCAGCAGTGGGATATGTGACTGGGTGCAGACATGGCTATAACGCAACTGCAACATAGCTCAGGTGGAGGCAAAGGGCAACACTCACAGCTAAAAGCAGTTCCCAGGGAAGGAGAGGCAGTGTCTGCTGGGGCTTCCTCTAGTTTTCTTCACATCAGCTTTCAAAGTCAGCAGATATGCTCTCTCTAAGCTGGCCTGAGCCCAGGCAGCCAAAGCCCCAGGAGCAGGGCGATGCATTTTAAGCTCTGTCGTTGCCTGCTTGCATGGCACCATAAAAACTGAGTTCATATCAACAAAATACCAGTAGCAGGTCAGAATGCAGTTGTCTCTAGCTCTGTTTGCTATATCTACTGATAGATATCTACTGCTAAGAATATAAGAACAGAACAAGCATAAAGTGGTCTTTCTCCAGGGACTTGTTTTATCTTCCTTGACCTCATAGAAAATTCTGGTGTTGCCAGAGTTCATTAATATTTTGACCTATTTTATCACAAATGCAGATTCTTCCTGCCACCTTAAGTTTCTTAATAGCAAGTGTGTCCCATTAATAGTTGCAAAAATTGCTGGGTTAGTTAGCTTTGAAGGGATGCTGATGTCAGATTTTAAAACAGATGCAATAGAAAGAGCAGTGCTTCGTTCTTTGCATTCCTTGTCATCATATCCATCTCCAATCTGGAGGGCTAGCAGGGCTAATTATCTGCTGTTTTCATTAGAGCTGGCATGAAGCTAGCAGAGGAATGGAAAAAAAATTAACTTTCTGGTTTGCTTTCTTGATTTGTATCGCCCCACCCCCTGCAATATTCTCCCCTAATTTTTCCCTGAGACACTGACATTTTCTTGTTGGTTCTAATCTTCATTGAGCTCTCACATAATTCTTGAGATTATCAAATGTTTGGTTATATTCAGTCTTAATTATGCAAATATAGGATTGCATGGAAATGGAATATGACTCTCTGGCACTTGTAGGGTTTTCCTGCAAAAGAGTGTCTGTAAGTTTTAGACTGCTAGTTGACAGTCTGGGTAGTGAAATACATCATATCCTGTTAGTAATTAATTGAATTTGCAAAATATATTTTGTAAGTATTATTTACATTGCATTTACAGCAATATTTGAAAAATTAAAATAATTTGGAAGTAAGAAAATTTAGGAACAAGTCTCTATTCAGTCTAGACTTTATTCCTGCAAATATATGATAAAATGGGTGTTTGAATTATTAATCACTTGGATTTTTCCCCTCTGATTTCTGCCTTAGTGCATGAGATGGTGAGGAAATGACCATATTTTTTCTCCTTTATCACTAGCCTTCAGTGTTCAATGCCCTTTGTTTGCTGTACATTCAGAGCCAAGCCTGTTCTGAGTAAACAATTATTAATTTCTGTGTGGGCTCTGCTGCTGATAATAAATTTCTTGTGTACTTCACAAGTGTTATTTAAGTTACTGTCTCATGACCTTTGGGAGGTTGAGGTATGTGACTGCTGCTTCAAAGGTTGAGTATTAGGCAGTTAAGATTATATATCTGTGTATGTATGTACATATATCCAGGCAATCTTCATGGCTGCTCTGAATGCAGCTAGAGTTCATTAGAGAGTTCATGTTGGTTGTGGAGGCAGCTCACTGAGGGTCTGAGGGAGCTGCCATGCTTGCTCAGTACCCTGCAGCCTCAGCTTTATGGACCTTGATGTGGGAAAGGTCTGTGCAAGTGTTTGTTAAATGCCCTGTACATCCCTACCCCCATCAGAACCAAGGCTTAAGTGGACAGAAGTGAGTAGGTATAAATACCATCCTGAGTGCAAAAACTTAGATTGCTTTATGTCAGAAGTTTGCAGTGTGGACTAAGGCACAGGGCTATTGGAGTGGTGGAACATGGAGGCAAAGAGAGAAAATAACAACAACAACAAACCACCCAAGGGAAAAGACAAAGGAAAAAATGCAGATGCACAGATGGCCATGCACAGCCAGGCCCTTGGAGCAGTCCCCTGAGAGAGGTCCCCCCTGTGGAGAGTTTGTTGTCTAGAAGGATCGGACCTGTGATCAGGGAGACTATCTCTAGCTCTTTGATTTTTCTGGTGTTGAAGGAAGCAGGATATTGCACATTCCTGTGCTGTATCTGGTCTGCATCAAAGACACCTGACCCTCACCCACACATCTTCCTTTTGAAGGGGCAGTTTTCAGACTCTTGGTATTGTTTTAGCTGGTTTGACAGAAATGCTTAGGTTTGAAAGACTAACATGTTTAGTCATGCTCACACCAACCTTAGATATACACAGGAAATATTCAGCACTCCTCACAATTGTATTTTGATGGACTCAAGTAGCATTCAAAATAATTTTAGGGTGCAGTTGCACTTACAGTGCTTTCTAGACTTTTTCTTCCCCTACTCCCCACCCCCATCAAATTCACTCATAGAGAAACATGCTTACCTGGCAAAGCTAGAGCCTCTAGAGAGACAGCACAGATCTTATGCCACTCCTGATAATGGAAAAAGACTGTTTCTTGCTGCTGGTGTGAATAGTCACCAGAGGTGGGAAATGTGCACAATTTGAGGTTACTGAATTACTGGACTTGTCACTCAGGGTTCAGCAGCAGACTTTCCTCTGGTGGTGCCCAGCTCTGTCTAATTTCTCCCAGCTTCATAATTTCCTAGCCCAAGCCCTTTTGCTCCTTCCCTGCTCTGTCTCTGCTTTTCATTCAGGATAATGAGAGGTGAATCCATGCCAACGATTTCATTTGGATCAGGAAAGAACTTTTCAGGTCACTCTCCCATGAATCTCCTATTACTGTGGTTTCTTTGCACTACAGATATGTTTGGAGTATACAAATTAGATTTCTTCTGGAGGACAATGAAATGGCACATGTGCTCCAAGCACCTACTATACCAGTGTGCATTCAGTCAACAGGACTAGGCCAGAGATAATACAAAGATTTATCTCCTTCCTATGCAGAAGACCTTCCTTCTTTTTCTGTTCTGCCACACTATTTGCTAGCTCCTCGTCCTGTTCTCCTTATTACAGTACATTTTGTAGTTCCTATCTTCTGGCATTATTATCTTCATGCCTTCCCTCAAAATTAGAACTTCCACCATTGTGTTCATATTGATTACAAAGCACAAACCATTGATTCAGTATTAATATATCAGTGGAGTTTGCATCCTGTGAACCTAATACAAAGAAGGACTAGGGTTTGGACTACTGTTAATTGCATATCCAGGCTGACTGAATAAAATAAAAACTCAGTAAAATGACTTTTCTAGTAATGTAAACATGGAAATCTGACTATAAATACATGTAATTTTGATTTTGATATATAGTACCTGCAATTGATGATGCAAGAATTTTCTAAATTGTGAAAAAAGCTTTTAGAAGGGCAACTGATTGGTCCATATGAGTCTGGAGATGTAAAGAATTTTTGCTTATGAAATTAATTGAAAAAAACCCCCACTCTTCTGTACCTTGTTCAAATACACTTGCATGCTTTAATTTTCACTTCCTTTCTCAGTTTGCATTCTTTTACCCATATTATTTCCTGTTCCTTTTTTTCTCTCTGTCCCTGCAAAGCAGCCTGTTGTTGTGCTGTCCTTGGATACCTTATATGTTCAGACTGATATGTTTTATTATGATATTCTTTTGAGATTTCAATTGTAACAGAGCATGAATATCAACTTTAAAGCTGTGTCAAGCAAGCAATCTGGTTTCCCATTACCTGATAGATAGGCAGTTTTACTTTTCTAAACCACGCCAGCTTTGGCAGTCTTAGGAATCCCTTGTAATGCGGAGAAATATAAGTTCTGAAAGGCACACCCAGGCACATTTGCTCCAATGTGTACTGTATATAAGGTATGTGTACCCTGTAGATTGTAGTTTTTAGTGAGAGTTATCTCTTAGCAGAAAGCACCTTTGGTTTATTTACTGGTAAGGTTTGAAAATGACATTGTTTCACTGCAGAAAATATCGGTGTAGTTGTATCTGACTGAGAAATTGAGCCTTTTTCTCTAAAAAACTATTTTCCCATGTTTATTTCTAGAGATTAATTACTGTTTTAAGAGGAAGGATACCACGTTCAAGCTTCAAAAGGGTCAAAAAGAGAAAGTGAGATTCATATCATCTTATCTTTGGGCTTTTGGGTTATTTGGGCTTTTAGGGTTTGATCCATCTGTAAAATAAATCTTAATGATTTTTATAGTCTCAGGTGAGCATATGAAAGCTTGCATCTCTGTTGTTATGAGGTCAAATTTCTTCTTCTGATTTGAACTATCAATAGAAGTTAAAAAGATGGAGAGATGTTAGTTTTAAAATGTGAGTAAAGATCAGATTCCCATTTATTGGAATGTTGTATTCAGCGATAGCAAAAATTTCAGAAATACCTATATTCTAAACTAGGCTTCTTTGATCTACTCAGGTGAAACCTGAGGATTTCAGGTTCCGTTTGTTCAAGGCTGTAGACAAAATCCAGAGATACAATGCCTTTTTTAACAAGAGTGAAAATTCAACTTGTGAGACCTCAAAGATTCTTAAGACTGAAATTTATAAATATAATCTAAGACACTACATTTCTGTGGATTCTGTCCCACTCCACAATGTAATGTACCCTCATACAAATTAGATAGTTCCAACAAAATCAATAAAACTACCGGATGTCATTATTTATTTCCTATATTCCATTCCTTATGTTTGGGTGCATCTCAGCTATATTTGACTAATTTTTTAGCACCAAAGAATGTTGAAGAGGATTTCTTCTGCTTAGACTAAGAAGGAGAAGAAGGAAAGTTCAATCAGAATTTCAATGACCTCTATTTTCCATTCATACCTGTGGTTATTCACTGATTTGAAGTTTGTTGATTTTGTGCCGAAAGAGAAAACTCAAGTAGAGAGATTAAATAATAATCTGATCCTGATTCAAGCAGTTTGATTCAGTTATAGTATCTCTGTCTATGTATGGCAGTATGAATGACAATAATAAATATTTTCTCATTTAATTTGCAAAAAAATTTCAATTCTCAGACTATTTATTTTTTCTACTAATATTGTATTGAGTAAAAAAAAGTGTTAAATTTGTTTAATAAACAATTTTTTTTATGTCATAAGCAATAAACAAAGGAAATATTTTAAAATGCTTTTTTTCTTGGTTTCCTCAGCCTTGAGATTCAGTAACTTTGATTATATGATTTCTTCCTACACTACAGCATCATCTTCATTAAAATTTGAAGCTCAAGCAGTGCAAAATATTGATTTTTTTTTTTCTTGTGGGTAGTATACTTCATTTCAATTCAGCTTTAGGGAATTAAATATGGATTTGAAAGAGCTGTCCAGCTGCTCATACCATTTGGCAGAAGCTGTCTGGACTGTGAAAGTGAGGGATAAATGCGGACATCTTGAGACGTTCTAACCTCTTGTTGACTAGACAACTCCATCCATTATAAATCCCCTGGGCCAGATCCTCACTAAGGTAAATTGGCACTGTTTCCTTAGGCTCATTGCTTCTGTGCTGATTTACACCAGCTGGGCCTTAGATTATATTCTCATTAAGTGGACAAAAGTAACCAAAGCATGCCTGCTGGATTCAGAATTGAAATACATTTCTGTAAGTACTGTCTTGCTTTAGCAGCACCGCTAATGTAATGGAGAGCCCTGATACCCTCTGTAGACACACTCTCACAGGAGAGAGTGAATTAGGGTAATACAGCCACAGCTGTGAACTGTTGTCCATTTGAAGGAGAGGGAACTAGCTGTGCCAAATGAAGCAGAGGAACTATGAGCCATACCAGCTGATCCTGGACCTGCTGTACAGCAGCCCCAATGCCCACACTCTTCTGCTACATACTCTTTCCTGATAATACCCTGGATCTCTTACAAGCAGATTCAGATTTTTCACAGAGCAGTTCCTTTTTTTCCCACATGTCCATTGCAGAAGCTGTGGAAAGGTTTTTGCAAGACAGAACGGTGCTTTCCAGGGTGTTACACTGCATGTGAAGTTTTTGTGTACCTCTCCCTTATCTCCCCCAAAACCAACAGAAGCCAGAAGCACTGAACAAAGTGCTATAAATATGGTCTGAGGAGTTCAGCATGTATAACTTGGATAACATTTCCTCTGGAAGGGAGAAGGGGACATTTTGGATACCTGTGACAAGTATAATACAGGGCTTTTTCATAAAGGATCTCAGATTTACTGTTCTATTAGTGGAGTGTGAAATAAATAGGTTGATTCCTAATCCATATTAAACAATATTAAGTTCCTAGACACAGTCCTGATACCACCAAGGCAGGCTGTCAACTGGATGCAATCTATCCGGAAGAGTTAGAAAGGTGGATGCTTCTGAAAAGTTTAAAATAAGCTCATTGTCTTCAAAAGCCTTGCTCCTTCTGTGTCCTATACATGGTGCATGTGGAGAGGAATGTGCAGTCTTGACTAGGTTAAAGCCCTGACACCCTCTTCAACTAGGAAATCTTGCTTTTTCTGAGCCTGCAAATTTGGCAAAAAAGGTGGAATCAAATGGTATTATGTTGCTAACACATGTTGCATTTAGCTTGGGTAATGACAGCATAATTGATGTACATATATGCAAGATCCTATTTAACAATAACCTAAAATGAATGAATGCTTTCTCAAGAAAATGCAAAGAAATGTTTCACAAATTGTACAAAAACCTATTAATTAGGAGTTTAAAAGATTTTCATTGCCGGGGGAAAAAATTACACAGTGTTTATTAATGCTGCCTGATTTTACTGGCTGATCGCTCAAAACACTACCAGCATGATATGCTTTTTATTTGATGAGTGGCCATTTTGAGCTTCTCTTTGCTGACTGTATTGAGCTTGGTTTCAAATCTGTCTTAATCCTGCAATGAACCTTTAATAAAGCTGGATTGACTTTAAATCGGTACTTTGAAACATTAATTAAAATAAAACAGGAGAAACTAAAAGATCAAGTGATCCATTGTGGTGGTGGTGGTTTTTACATCAAAGCTCTCTTCTCCACCCCTCTCGAGAAGAAAGCAAGCCTTTGAAGGCTGCAGCTGTATGACTTCCAACATGGTTTTTAAACTGGCCTTAGGTTTTAATTACTTTTGCTGTTTTAGGTTGGCATTTTCTATATTTTTGAAGAGCTGTTTGGGACACTTCTCTTTACTCTTCCCTTCAGAAAAGCAGAGGATAAAACAGGCAAAATTGCTGTGAAAAGTTGACAGGGCATGGCAAGTCCACTCAGCCCAATCTGTTCTCTCTTCCAGGGAACTCAGTTTCCTGCAAAGACTGGAAATGACCCTGGAAAATTCTGTTTTCTGAGCCAAGTTGTAATAGCAAGCATATCCAGTGCTGCACCTCTGGCATTTTTTTTTCCAAGTGACCCTCCAGCAGTGCCTTTGTTTTCTTTTCTACTACTAGCTAGCAGTGTGTTCTGCAGACAGTGCAGCCTTTATAGTAACAGTACTGTACTCCCTGTTGTTCTGCTCCACTGTGCCTTGAGTTTGCAGAAGGACTCACTGATAGCAGAAAGAAATGAGACTTGAAGAGAAATGTTAGCCTTTCTGAGGGCTGATATTTACCTGTTATGGTTATACTTCGGGAACTAGTTCAGGGACACCTGATCCTTGCTGTCAAGGCTGCTATTTCATAAGTGAATGATCTCATCAGTTTTTCTCAAAACAATCGATCTTTAGTCTTGTATTGTTTATCAATTCCTGCACTCCCTTAATATGTGTCAAGTGACTGCAGGAGGTTTCCTGTAATAATTTAAAAAAAAACAAAAACAATTAAATGTGTGAAAAACCTATCAGCTGTATTAGAGGGAAACCTAATAATCAGTGTCTTAAGTCTTGCCTCAAGTGTCTTTCATCTGCTTGAACTGAAGACTTCAGTATATGCGATAGTATTACTGAAAGGGAAGTAGAAGAAGAGGGGTTGTGTAATTTTCTCCAGCCTCAGTTAGGTAGGAAATCCCAGATCTGTGTTCTAAGGCTGTCACCAGGAAGGTAAGGTAAAGCTGATACAAAATGTGTGACTACAGGCACAGGTAGGGGGGGTCCTCTGAGGAGGAGAGTGAGAGATATTAAACTTACAGCTGTTGTATTTGTGTTGCTGAGCTGTGTAACCTGAAGCACTGCAGGAGTTCACTCACTCTCCATCTCCCTCCTCCCAGGGACCAGAGGCCCAGCCTTCAGGAAACCTAGAAGGACAAACTCTCAAGGCCTCTAGTGATTTCTCAGTGTTAATACAATATCATATACCACTGAAGCTAGAAGCAATCATATCAAAACAAGTACCGTTGTAAAGTAGGCATGGATGTGGCCTGTGTTGGAACACATGCAAAATAATATTGCTTTTAGCCAACTTTACGCACTGAAGTAATGGTTTAAGAGGAACTGTCAAATGCATCCATCTGGGATGGTCATTTTATACTGGGGAGAATCTGGGGGTGGATAGGAAGTGAGAAATGCTTTAACATAAAGGCAGACATTGCTGTCACTGGAGTGGATAGGAGTTCTATTGTTTTTTTTCTATAAGAGTGAATATTCTGGGTTTGTCCTCTATTATATCTCCGGTCTGGAGCTTCCAGGGGAGGAGGAAGAGGAAAAGGGTTAGACAATAAAATATACATCTATTCATTTTCTTGGTGTAAGTGCAATGCTTTTTCCACTGTATTGCTTTGCACTGGGCTGAGTAGGAGGGACGGAGGTGTCAAAAATAATTATGGAAAAAAGGAAGCAAAAAATTAAAAAAACCTTAAATGTTGAGAGCAGCTGCAAGCTTAAAAATGTGAGTTCAAAGTGAATTACTTCTTATATAGCAATGTGTTAGCTTCTCTAGTGGGCAAACTGCTCCTCTTGATACAGTCACACAGCATTAGTCATATATGCTCTTGCCAAGCACCAATCTGTTAGGTTTCCTGTTACAGCAGCTAATTGCTTTTTGAGCTAATGCATACAAATATAGTTACTTAGTTAATCTCTCTCTCTCTGCCCCCTCTAACATGTTTGAACTGTCACCAGCATTATGAAAACTTCCTGAAAATATTTCTGACTTAAGTCTTACAAGTCAAAAAGGGATGATAAGAGGATAGGAGTGTAGCAGCAGAGGGGACGAATGATGCAAAACGGGATTAAACCCTCTCCACCACCACTTTCTCAGCAGATCAGTGTAAAATAACTGACCCAAAAGGAATTTAGCAGATTTATACCCATGGGAGATGTGATTCATTGCCTCGTTTCAGTTTGCTGTATGGCATGATTTTAACTTATTTAGAAGACGTTTTTTAAAAATGCTGTCACAATCCCAGAATCTGTGACAACGAAAGTTATCTGTGACCTGATGAAGGAAAAAACCAAAACCAACCCAACAATCAACCAAACTCACATTCTTTTAATTAAAAAAAAGTAAAAATCACCTTTTATTTTATTTTTGTTTATTTTTTTATACTCTGCATTGAAAAAACATGGATACAGTGATTTCAGCAAATTAGACATAAATCTCCTCTTAATTATTATTATAGGAAGGTAGGTGGTGAATGATGGGCAGAGAATATGTGGGAAGGAAAAGTTACTTCAAGAACAAAAGTTAGAGAAAAATTAATGGAAGAAACATTAAGAACAAAAATGACAAATTAAGTACAGCACATATAGAGAGTTCTGTGAGATCTTGCAGTTTTGTTTGGGTGTTTTTTGTTTGAAATTTATGCTTTTACATCTCTTGAGAACTGCTTGCTTTAATGGTGAATGCACTATTTTTTACTGGGCATACTCAAAAATCATCTTTTTGACACAGTATTTGACATCTTATTTTTAGTAATACTTACTTCCAACTTTGTATTTGTGAGTAAAAATCCAGCTGGACGTTGGAGCTATATTGCCCTTGTTAGTGCAGATACTCTGAATTACTCACTCAAATGGATATTTTCTTTCCTGAAAAGTCTTGCAACCTAAGGATGAGCCAATATTGTTGTCAGTGTAGACAACAAAGAAACTTAAAAGTTAAGTACTGCTTTCAATGTATTCATGATGCTCAACACAGTTTATGATTCTTATCTGAGAATAAACATTTGAGCTACTCAGTACCATTTGAGATTTATAGTGTGGCTACTTCTCTGCTTGCAGCTTCTGATTTGAGTACCTTGAAGCTGTCTCTGAAATGTCTTCCTGGACAGCAGGAACTGGGGTATAAACATTTTCTGAGTGAGAACTCATAGTCTCAGTTGCTCAAAATTGCCTCTAGGTTGAACAGCAGATGGTTCAACCACCCATGCTGGTTTATTACCAGGTTTCTTTAAAACATAGGCATGTTCTAGGACTCAGTGAAATGGTCAAATCTGGAAGAGTGACTTATTCTTTGTGACTTTGCTTGTTCCTAGCAGAGCTATTCATTAGGAACAAAACATGACATTGAACAAATGCCTTTGGCTGGTCCTTAGCACGTGGGGCATCAGTGTGGGTCATGGTGAAGAAAAACTAGATATAAAGAAGAAATTTTTTACAAAGTAGGGTGTGAAACACTAGAACAGGTTGCTCAGCAAGGTGGTAGATGCTTCATCACTGAAAACACTTGTGTCATGTTGGACAGGGCTCTGAGCAACCTGATCTAGTGGAAGGTGTTCCTGCTCATTGCAGGGGGGTTGGACTGGGTGATCTTTGTAGGTCCCTTCTAACCCAAAGTACTCTATGATTCTGTGGGTACAAGGGTTCTGTTGGAGCACTTCATAATCAATTGTAATTTCACTAATCATGATAAAGTCTGTTGCTTCTGCATGCTGAAGGCAGGTTTTCTTAACAGCTGGACTGACAGTGATAGCCCCTTTGTAAGAACCATTATCACTGAAAACACAGCCAAACAAGTGGAGAAGGTGGTTTAGTCTGATCTAAATCTGAGCAGGTGGGAGGTTGGAGCTTTGGACATCCAGTGGCCAAAATAAACAGGCTAGCCTCTATGTTCACTTGCTCTTCATCCATGAACAAGTTATCTTCTTAAAAGTCTGTATAGTCTGCTTCTAAAGAGGCTTCCTATTTTAAACCATTTGAAATAGGAAATGAAGGCTTTAGGATCTGAATTTTAACATTTATAAAGTACTTTGATGAACAAAATACACCTTAAATTACTACACAATAAATTTAGTCCTAGGCTTAAATACTGTCCATATGACTAAACAGAGATTTTTTATCCACTCACAATTATTTTGAGTACCATCTTTGCATTAATCCAGTCCCTTATTTTCAATGAGAATGGAAATGTTGTTTGATAAGAAAAGGTAAATTTATGAATGTTCAACACATAGTTTTCCACAAGTCCATGAAAAGGAAGTTGACAAAACTAAAATACAATTTATGTCCTCAGCATAGCTTAACAAACTTTGAATCACAGAATCAGAGAATATTCTGAGTTGGAAGGGATCCACAGGATCATCGAGTCCAACTCTTTAAGGAACGGCCCATATGGGGATCAAACCCACAACCTTGATGTTATTAGTACCATGGTAAACTGTTTGTATCATTGACTTGTAGAAAGTGAAAGAACAGTTTTCTTGTTTTCCCTTTTTTTATTTGAAAAATTAATGTTGTTTTAGAACCCAGGTCAGTTTAATATATTCCAGGAAGTTTAGATGGAAACAAAATAACATGGACCAGTTACTACTACCATAATTTTCATAACCTCCCAAAATCTGTCATCAAGTTGAGCAGCTCAAGTCATTAGCGAGCTAACACTTTTTCCATACCCCTCCCATCCACTCACCTAGTTAGTGTCTCTGTTCAGTGAGAAGAACGTGTAGTGAAAGAAAGAAGACAAGGAGATTAAAGCTGGTCCAATTATCAGTTACCTGAATGGATGGATCTTTTGGATTAGTCCCATGGTGCATATAGTCAAATTTATCACAGCATTTTTCTCCCATGTATTTGAAAATCTCTATGACCAAAATACTTATTACTGATCAACTCTGTAAAAGCCAGACATGCTGTATGGAGAGCTCTGAAAGCAGAGTCACTGGAGTGCAATAGGCAGGAGGGAGTGCAGAACTGTGCCCAGACAGATAAGCACAAATATCTTGGGTTTCCATCAAGAGCCATCTCTGCAAAATTCTTAAGTCAGTCTGATCTGTGCATCATATAAAACCAGTGGAGTAGGTTTGAAAGAAGAAAAAAAAAGAAGGAAAAAGAAGGGAAAAAAAAAGACAAAGAAAAAAAAAGGATTTTTTTATTTTCTT